TGCCTACAGATGGGCTTTGGGTCCCCACTCCGCACTCCCCCTCATTCACAATGATATGATTTTTTGTTCTTTGATACCTGATACCTGATCCCTTTGACACCTCGTGGTCACACAGGCTGGTGTGCTTCTTCCATATGGGCTTTGTTGCTTCTGAGCTAGATGGCTGCTTGTTTACCTTCAAGTCTTTAAGACCCTAGACGCTATATCTTTTGATAGCTGGGCACCATCAGCTTTCTTCACCACATTTGCTTATGCACCCGCTTATCTTAGCCCTTCTGAATTAATACACGAAGGACATCTAGAATACTGCATGGAATGTGGCAAGTGCCATTAGGCTGCTTTAGGCAAGCCGACTTTTGGAAAACAAATTCAAGAACATTAACCTGCTGTGGGGGAAAAATGATCCCAAATCCAAATACACTTTATAGAGACTCCCTTTTTTAAATCATAAGCAGGGAAAAGACAAATCATACAGATGATGTAGATCATCAGTGTGAGGCGGTAAATGGTGTCCAAAGGAGTAAGGGCCACAGGACTAATTAAAGAAGATAGACCACAAAGGCCATTTGTCACTAGATGAATCCACCTGCCCTAGGTGGGACTGTGAGCTAAGTGGGAAATGGACTGTGGTTGGGATCATATGCTATTGTAGGTGTAGAAAGCTTGCAGAAGGACTGGGGGTCTTCTGACTACCCTGCTTGGGGTAGGTCTCAGGGCCATGTGACCGGGTGCCTTTTCATTAAGGGCACACCCATACAAATTCCTGAGGCAAGACTGCCATAACTCACTTGCAAACACAGGAAGCCAGAGGGCAACTGTTTACTTTGCTGGTTAAGGGTCAGCTTGAACTCAATGAAGACAGGATTTATGTCTAGACTCAAAATTCCTTGGTTCTCTGAGAAAATGGTCTGGGGGCCACATCTGGCCTCCTGTGGCTACTGGAAGAAGGAGTAGTCAACTAGAAGTAAGCTCTCTAGTTTACTAAATGCTCAACCTGTAGTCTTCATTTGATCTTCGCTCCCAACCTGTGAGCTAGAGGACATTGGCTTCCTTTCACAGGTAGGAATTCCCCCTCTGCAAAGCTAAGTAAGGAATATGCTCCAGGTGTGATCTGGCCCAAAAGTCCAGTATGTAAGAGGTTCAGTGCTTGTCACTTCCCAATTCTTTCCTTTGTGGCCCAACTAGGTGAATTTAAGGAGCCAAAAGAGGGGCAAGTTAAGAAAAAAAAATTTTTAAGAGGGGCAAGTTGTAGTTCTTATTTTAGACTCTCGGAAGAATGAATTCAGAGACATGAAGAGAAACCTTAGGTTCCTGCACACCTGTACACCCCAACCTTTTGGGTGTTTTGTTTGTTTGTTTCATGCTTTTCAGGCTTTAGGGATTATGTGGGAACTTGTATCTTGAACTCTAAGGAGCAGTCATAGCACAGTGGTTAAGTGCCTGACAACAGCAGAGAGTTCAACAGTTCAAACCCAACAACTACTGAGAGGGAGAAACACGTGGCAGGCTGCTTCGATAAAGATCACAAGCTTTTGAACACCAGTGAGGCAGGTTTGAGGAGCCTTGGTGGGGTAGTGGTTACAAGTTGGTCTGCGATCTGCATGGCCGATGGTTCAAAACCACCAGTAGCTCCTCAGGAGAAAGACTGGGGTTTCTACTCCTGTAAACAGTTACAGTCTCAGCAACCTACAGGGGTTGCTAAGAATCAGCAAGGACTCAATGTTGGTGAGTTTTGTTTTGGGGGTTGTTTTTTTTTTAGGCAGGTCTGCTCGGCCCTGTAGGTTTGCTCAGAGTTGGAATCAACTCAATGGCAGTGGGTATCTTGATCCTGAGGACCAACACAGATTTAATTAGCTCGTTGCACATGCTTTGATCTTGTGCTTCTTGGTCACTGCCAGGAATTGGTACTCATGCTGTTGCCCCTGTTCAGATGATTTTTAATAGCTTTGCCACTAGGCATCTTGAAATCAGGATTTCTTTCTCAATATCCTGATTTCTCTGTTGGATCCAAAGCCCAAACCTACTACCATCAGTCAATTCTGACTCAGACTCTATGTAAGGTTTCTGAGGTTAATAAAAACTATTCACAGCCATATAGTCTATTATGACTCATAATATAAGACAGAATAGAGCTGCTCCCCAGGGTTTTTGAGGATGTAAATCTTTGCAGGGGCAGACCGCCTTTTCCTTAACCCTCAGAGTAGCTAGTAGTTTGAAAGGCTGGCTTTGTGGTGAGCAGCCAAGCCTGTAATGCACTACTCTGAATCCAGATTCTCTGTGCTTGCCATTGCCTGCCCTCCTCTGACCACAGTGCTCTGTGGCTTTGTAATGCAAAGGACTTGGTGGTGCCTTGGGCCCGCCCTTGGGAGCCACTGAGTGACTCACACTGCCCTTCCTACTTGCTTCTGAATTTTTCTGACAGCCTTGTGACTCTCACATGAGGAATGAGTGGCTCTTGAGAAATTTTTGCCATAGAGATTTTTTTAAGATTGCCTTTTACCATTCTATGATGCTCACCTTCCGGACACAATTGCTGAAGACAAAGCGGGTGCATAAGCAAATGTGGGGAAGAAAGCTGATGGTGCCCGGCTATCAAAAGATATAGTGTCTGGGGTCTTAAAGGCTTGAAGGTAAACAAGCGGCCATCTAGCTCAGAAGCAACAAAGCCCACATGGAAGAAGCACACCAGCCTGCGTGATCACGAGGTGACGAAGGGATCAGTTATCAGGCATCAAAGAACAAAGAATCATATCATCGTGTGCTTACCTCCCTGATACGATGGCTGAAGACAAATGGTTGCATAAGCAAATGTGGCGAAGAAAGCTGATGGTGCCCGGCTATGAAAAGGTATAGCATCTGGGGTCTTAAAGGCTTGAAGGTAAACTAGTGGCCATCTAGCTCAGAAGCAACAAAGCCCACATGGAAGAAGTACACCAGCCTGTGTGATCACGAGAAGGGATCAGGTATCAGGCATCATCAGAATAAAAAATCATATCATTGTGAATGAGGGGGGAGTGTGGAGTGGAGACCCAAAGCCCATTTGTAGGCCACTGGATATCCCCTTACAGAAGGGTCTTGGGGAGGAGACGAGCCAGTCAGGGTGTGGTGTAGCAGCAATGAAAAATACAACTTTCCTCTAGTTCCTAAATGCTTCCTCCCCGCTCTCACTATCATGATCCGAGTTCTACCTTGCAAGTCTGGCTATACCAGAGGATGTACACTGGTACAGATAGGAACTGGAAACAGGGAATCCAGGGCTGATGATCCCTTAAGGACCAGTGGTGTGAGTGGTGATACTTGGAGAGTAGAGGGAGAGGGTTTGAAAGAGGGAACCTATTATAAGGAACTATATGTGACCCCCTCCCTGGGGGACGGACAACAGAAAAGTGGGTGAAGGGTGATGTCGGACAGGGCAAGATATGACAAAATAATAACTTACAAATTATCAAGGGCTCATGAGGGAGGAGGGAGGGAGGGGAAAAATGAGGACCTAATGCCAGAGGCTTAAGTGGAGAGGAAATGTTTTGAGAATGATGGGGGCAATGAATGTACAAATGTGCTTTGCACAATTGATGTATGTATGGATTGTGATAAGAGTTTTATGAGTCCCTAATAAAACGATTTAAAAAAAAGTACCCAGACTAAAAAACAAAAAGAAAAGAAAGTTACAACTTTCCTCTAGTTCCTCAATGCTTCCTCCCCCTACTATCATGATCCCAGTTCTACCTTACAAATCCGGCTAGACCAGAGGACGTACACTGGTACAGATAGGAACTGGAAACACAGGGAATCCAGGGTGGATGATCTCTTCAGGACCAGTGGTGTGAGTGTCGATACTGGGAGGGTAGAGGGTGGGTAGGTTGGAAAGGGGGAACCGATTACAAGGATCTACATATAACCTCCTCTCTGGAGGACGGACAACAGAAAAGTGGGTGAAGGGAGATGTTGGACAGTGCAAGATATGATAAAATAATAATTTGTAAATTATCAAGGGTTCATGAGGGAGCGGGGAGGGAGGGGAAAAAGGAGGAGCTGATGCCAGGAGCTTGGGTGGAGAGTGGATGTTTTGAGAATGATGAGGGTAATGAATGTATAAATGTGCATTACACAATTGATGTATGTATGGATTGTGATAAGAGTTATATGAGCCCCTAATAAAACAATATTTAAAAACAAAAGATGATCTTTTACTTAGGATTGATTGCTGTTATTATTTTAGTCTTCGTGTTACTGACCTACTGTTATTAACTTAAATCTATGTAGAATGTTCTTTCATTATTTAGAGCTTATGTCATTTATTGTGCAGATGTACAAATGAACGCCTTCTTCATCGCTAACCATCTTTCCTCTACATTGTGGTTCTTACAGATCAGCAAATAAAGTAGCGAGAACATTGAAAGCATGTAAAAAAAATTCCACACATACTCGTGTATAAACTGAGGTTTTTTTTTTAACACATTTTTTAAAACATTTTATTAGGGGCTCATACAACTGTTATCGCAATCCAAACACACATCAATTGTGTAAAGCGCATTTGTACATCATTTTTAATGCAGTTTTTGTGGTAAACTTAGGCGTCTCAGCTGATGTTCGGGTCGGCTTCCACTCAAGTATATATGGTCACTTCCATCATTTCCCACTGCCTTCTTTGCCAGTTGTGCATGTGGCCTGTTTGAGTTAGTATTTTTCCAGGCGTGAAACTCCATACCTCTCACTGTTGCTTCCTTCTGATGGTACATCATGGCTGGGTGCTTTTTGATGTTGACGTGTTTTTAGCATGGAGGACCTGGTGATAGATTTGTGTTGCCTTCTTTTAGGTGTTTTCCCAGTCCTGCGTCTGGTATGGAGAATGTGGGATTGCGACCGGAGATAAGAGGTACAATTGCGAATATTCTGGGCCAGCGAAGCCACTGCCAAAGGACGGGTATGACTTAGTGCAGGTAAGTTCAGATCTCCGGGAGTGGGGTCTTCTGTGAACAGGCCTTCATTAATAATATGGGACGAGGGAACTTAAATCCTACCCCAGACCCCTTATCTGTTGTGTGTAATGGCATTGAGGGTAATGATATAAGTGCAGAGGATTAATTTTTCATGAACTGATAATCACATCTGTTTAGATTTAACAGCAGTGGGTTGCTCTGGGGAGACTGACCTTGGCAGGGATGGGGAAATGTGTCAGCAGATAGCCGGGCATGGTCCCAGATTCCAAGGCTGGAACGGGCTCTGTTGCTGGGGAGCTGCCGCTTCCTCGTCCCGTTTCCATTCTGCTCACTCTTGTTTTTTGCGAGACCTTATCTGTTTTGGCTGCTTCCAAGGTTGTCTTTGTATCACCCTTGGTGCCCAAGGCTCTAGGACTTAGCAAAACCAAGTTGACGTGGAAGCAGACCTTCCAGAATCACTCGTTTCTTTCCTCAGAACTCAATTTGCCTAGAGGGACTAAAGGGACCAGGAGATAGCACTTGAGCATAAACACAGAGAGCAATGGAAGGAGACCCAACTCTTCCGTTCTCACGTGTACTATATACCCAAGCAACACAGACAGACACATGTGCACCAGTGTTCATCATAGCCACCCATCTTCATAGCAGCTGCGGGGTGGAAATGTAGTGTACAGTAGAATATTACTTAGCCTTAAAGAGGGATGAAGCCCCAATGCATGCTACAACATGATAAATTTTGAAAACCTCATGCTGAGCAAAAGTAGTCCATCTCAAAAGGACAGATAAAATGTGACCTGACTTATATAGAAAAACAAATCTATAAAACCCCCAAATTATTGCTGGCTACCAGGGGTGGAAGGAGCAAGGAGAGAGGAGATTTCATTTAGGGTGTGCGGAGTTTCTGTGAATGGTGGTAGAATAGCTTGGAAAGGGGCAGTGAGAATTCTTGCACAGTTTGAAGAGTATAAATTTTATATAAAAAGGACTCCTGGTGGCACAGTGCTTACTATTTGGGCTGCGATCCACAAGGTCACTAGCTCAAAACCACCAGTTCCTCTCTGGGAGAGAGTTACAGTCTTGGAAACCCACAGGGGCAGTTCCATCTGTTCTATAGGATCACTGTGAGTTGATTTGACTCGATGGCAGTGGCTTTGGGGAAGAAGAGGTAAAATTATTTTCAAGGGAGGAGAGCCAACTTGCACAAAAAGGGGGGGGGCAGGGAGAGTCTTGTGAGGTCGGCTTCAATCTTCAAGGTCAGCATTTCAAAACCCCCAGGTGCTCCTCGGGAGAAAGAAGGGGCTTTTTATTCTTGTGACCTGTTAGCCTTGGAAAGTCAAAGGGGCAGTTCTGCCCTGTCCTATAAGGTCGCTATGAGTCGGTAGTTAGTGTTTGGGTTTTGGTCTTTTTCTACTTTTTATTGGAATCCCTAGCTTGTAAATCAGTGGTTCTTAACCCTTCTAATGCCGCAACCCTTTAATACAGTTCCTCATGTCGTGACCCCAACCATGAAATTATTTTCGTTGCTACTTCATACTGTAATTTTGCTACTGTTATGAATCGGGTGACCCCTGTGAAAGCGTCATCTGATCCCCAAAGGGCTCACGACCCACAGGCTGAGAACTGCTATTGTAGATAGTAAGTTTTTTGTTTATTGTCTTTTATTAGCATGCTTCCGAGGTTTGCAAATATGACGGGGCTTCCAAAAGTTTGTGGGAAGAGGAAAGAAAAGATGATGCTATTTTCTCATATGCTTTTTTTGAATCCCCCGTTCTGTATCCTCACCCTTGTGCACCTGAAAAAGACCCCAGGAGTGGTTGCTAGATTCCACTGCGAAATGCTTGTCCTATTTCTGCTTCTGCTGCTCTGCCTTATCTGTGCCTCTCGCCCTGAAGGAGCTCTGTCCAGGATTCTTCTTCGACAGCGTCAACCTCTGCTGTGACGTTCAGCAGCTCCGCACACTGAAAGACAACCTACAGCTGCCTCTGCAGTTTCTGTCCAGGTGAGCTGACCGCTGGGGCAGATAAAACAAATGGTTTGTTTTAAGGTACTTCAGGACCAGTCAAGGCACCCGGGTGGCATAGTGATTAAACATTTGGGTGCTAACCATAAGGTCTGTGGTTTGAACCCACCAGCCAGCCCTCGGGAGAATGATGTGGCAGCCGGTTCCCATGAAGATTTATAGGCTTAGAACCCCTAGGGGGTGGTTTGACTCATTGTGTCGTCACTGTGAGTTGGGGTTGACTCGGTGGCAATGGGTTTGGGGCTTGGGATACTAACCAGTAGCATCCCGATTTTTTTTGCCGGGGGTGGGGGGTGGGGGGGGCATTTTTTGTTTTCTGTATTTTAAGAATCCATTTGAAGACTGAGGAGAAATCAATGTAATGTACTAATTATCAGACCTGCCTCTCATTCCCATTACATTCAGAGTTGATTCTGGGTTTTCTTCCCAGGTATCTCAGGTTATAAGGTCCCTCCTCTGTGGACCAGGTCTGTTCAGACCTGAGAACTCCCCAGTGTGCCATGGGAGGAGAGTTGCTGGGGTTCCCCACAGAGTCTCTGCCCAAGACCCTGTACAGTCGCTAAATTCTACGCTTGGCTGATAGGCCACCAGGACTCCTCTGATCCATAGTGTAACCCCAATTTAGCCCCTGCCAAGTGTGTAACTCACTGGCTGCCTTGGGCCTTGGTCTCTGTCCTGCAGTAACACTGCGTGCCCGGATCTTGGTCTTCAGTAGAGCTTAACAAGCTCTTCCTAGTGTAATTGGCTGGTTGTATGCACATTCATTTCCTGCCCACTCTATTCTCTGTGACCAGGCCAGTGTAAAGGGTTGCATAATCCTGGTCTTCTGTGGGCTCAGCAGCTCTCCACTGTGCACAGAACCCACTGGGAGCATTCGGTTAAGACAGCAGGCTGTGACGTCGTTCTAAACGTGTCAGCCTTCGATGTTAGTGAAGCATATATGAAGAGGGGACAGTGCTTACCTGTGCACTTCAAGTCAAGTGATGGAGTGCAGGTCACGTTGGCTTCCCCCAAGAAAAGCCTGCTGGTTGTCCAAGTTTACAATGGCAATGCAGTGTGGGAAATCATCACTAGAGCATATTTTTATTGGGAGTTAGTACAGATATCATATCATTCTGTAGTTCAATGACATCCCACAGTATTGTGCAATTGCAACCCCGATCAGTTCAAAATATTATTTTCCTTCTTGAACTTCTTGACATCAGCTCCCTTTTAAGCACCCCCACCCCAGGAGGTGCATCAATCCTGGGTTTCATATATTAAAAAACATACAAGCATATAACAAAAATTCAAGAGGGTCACCCCCAATGACAAAACACATCTGAAATAAACCCCAATATGAACAAACACAAAACAAAAAGATACAGAAAATGTTGAAAACCAGATCAGGCCTAACGTGCATGGGGTGGGGGGTGGGATCAACTGACAAGGTTTTAACCATTCAAGTCAGGTCTACTAGATCATTCTTTTGAGACAACATGCCAATCTAATATGTCATAAAATGAAAGTCTCATGAGGCCAGTATAGCCCGTGGAAGGAAGGTAGACATTGAGGGAGCCAGATTGGAGACACTCGTCATTCAAAACACTTCTACCAAGCACCCTTCTCAGTAAAGCAGAAGGTTTCCCCAAGTTACTATTGGAGACACCAAAGCTTTACGTATGATAGCCAATTAGTGAGAAACCACCTACTGTGTGAACTACCCCACGGCCCTCAAAGTCGATGATTGTGGAGATGCGCTGCTGTTGTTGGCAGCCACTTAGCCAGTTCCAGCTCACAGTGGCCCACTAGGCTTGAGCAGAGCTGCCCCACAGGGATTTTTTCCAGCTGTAATCTGTATGGCCCCACATCACCAGGTCCTCCGCCTGCAGAGCTGCGGAGTGGATGCAGCTCACCGGCCTTTTCGTTAGCAGTTGAGCTCTGAACCATCTTGCTGCCAGGGCTCCTGAGATGATATTTAGTAATTTGGAAAGAAGCCTGTTTCATAGAGAAAGGCAGACGACCGTTTGCCCCATGCTCCATTTTCCTTAATGTGGCTACAGTGCTCTATTGTTTTTTTTAATGTATAATTTTTAAAAGTACTGTTTGCTTTAGAACTTAGTTCACATGGTTGAAAAGTAGGGAGCCAACTGGTGTTCCAAATATTGATTTAATAATTTCTTCCTTTTGAAATTGCATCCAAGTGAAATACATAAACAAATTACAGCAGTTTTCTAGGACCCCTGGTGGTGTAGTGGGTTATGCGTCAGGCTACTAACCACAAGGTCAGCACTTTGACACCACCACCGCTCCAAGATGAGGCTTTCTACTCCAGTAAATTGCTAGTGTCTCAGAAACCCTTAAGGGATTGTTCTACTCTGCCCTGCAGGGTGTCTGTGAGACAGAATTGACTGGGTGACAGGGAGTGTGTTTGTTTTTTGGTAAGACTTTAACATGAGAATTTAGGCCTTGAATTGTGGTGAATTTCATATGTTCTCCTGCTAATTCATTTTCCATTTTACAATAACGTGTATTCATTGTCAGTTTTAAATCAGCTTTCTGCTGGTTCTCTCGTCTGAGATTAAGCAGAACACGATGGACTTCTTCCGTAGGTGTCCCTCATGCTTCTATAACCTCATGAACCTGTTCTGCGAGCTGACCTGCAGCCCTCGACAGAGTGAGTTTCTGAACGTTACGGCAACTGGAGATTATGTTGATCCTGCTACAAACCAGACAAAGACAAACGTGGAAGAGTTACAGTACTATATTGGAGAGCGCTTTGCCAATGGTAAGTGAGCTTTTGATTATCCCTTTCCCACTGTTGGCCTCTGGGCAAGGATCAAGTTATTTTTTCAGTTTTGTTTCTTGTCAAAGTATGGAAAATGACCAATTTTAATTCCATTGGCCAGAAAAGGAGACGCGCTTTGTTTGTGCCCTAAGAGTTGGTCTACCAACCATAAGACAGTCTCCATAAGGTGTCAGAATCGACAAGGTGTCAGTGAGTCTGGTGTGGTTTTGAACTGTACATTCTCCGCCTGGGAAACTTCGGTATATGCAGACTGACTTCTGTCTCCCTTGCTAGCAATCCCTGAACTTTGTGCAACTGCAGGAGTTACTGGGAGACTGATGAGGTGGGGTGAGAGGGAAGACCTAGTTGCTAGAGGAAAAGAGGTTTTGACTATGAAGAAACATCATCGTCAGGGAAAGTAAGAGAGCATGTAACGATCAATGAAAAGGATTGAAATGAGAGTAGAACACTGTAGAAAAAAGAATGAGCGTGTTAGAAGTAGGACCCACTGGGTCTTCCCGCTCACCCCACCTCGTCAGTCTCACAGTAACTCATCCAGTTGCACAAAGTTCAGTGAAATGGACTAGATTAAATAACAGGCAACACCTGAACAAAAAGAATGCCTATATCTACAAAATAATAGAATCAATAAGAATTTGGCAGAGTTGTTGGACTACAAGGACAGCATATAAATTTCAATTGTAAAGACCAATTAAAAATACAACAGGAAAAAAAAATACAACAGGAAGAAAAATAGAAAAAAATTCTGATTTACAAAGACAACAAATATAAAAAACTTGGGGAAAAAAATCTAGCAAACGATATGGCATAAAGATAGGACATCTCACTAGAATGACGAAATCATTCTGTCCAGAAACAAGCAGCCTATACAGAAGTCGGTAAATGACTGATGCAGAGACACATGATCTATGGGAGAGGTAAATTACTGAATAAATGCCCTGAGGCCATTGGGTTTTTCACCCCATATTCATCTAGTTTATGGTATTTCACCTCATGTCATAGTAGGGATAAATTGGTTATAAGGCTAATGTGAAAAGAAAACATATATTTTTAGCAACCAGTATCCTGATGGCGCAGTGGTTACACATTGGGCCGTGAATCCGCGTGGCTGGCAGTTTGAAACCATCAGCAGCGCTGAGGCAGAAAGACTGGGCTTTGTACTTCCATAACCAGCTACAGTTTTGGAGACCCACCGGAGTTGCTATAAGTCAGCGTGAACTTGGCGGCAGTGAGTTTGGTTCTTGGCTTTGGGGTAATCCTCAATGACCTTTAAGGTCGGGAAGATTCCTAAAAAGAGAGGAAAAACAAAAACCACAAATGGAAAGATTGATTAATACAGATGACTGTTGTCTAGAACAAGTAAAGATTTGTAAATGAATAAGAAAATAAAACTCAGTTTGAAAAACAAATGGGTAATAGACAAATCAAAATGTAGCACACAATAAAATTATGGAAAGATGCTCAACTTCACTAGTAATCGATGAGATGCATTTTTCAAGTTGTGAACCACCCCTTCACACATTACGAGAGTGACGACAAATAAGAAGTTGCCCCAGTCCACGTGTTGGGAAGACTGGAGCAGTCGGAATTCCAGTACACTGCATTGTTAGTGTGTATTAGTAATTGGTATGAGAGTCTGGAAACCTTTTTTTTTTAAACTTTTTTTTTTGACTAGCTTGAAGGTCATCAGTTTTACATGTAACAATTCATGTACATTCTGTTTCATCTTGTTCATTGCAGTTCCATCACAGTGACATCACCCCTCCCACTTCCCCCTTGTTTCCTGTCTCCAGTCTTCTTCCTCGTCTAATCCTTTTGAACTTTGTCCTTGGGTCAGTGCTCCCTCCTTGGTCCCAAATGGTCAATTATTGGAAGACATGCGCTCATCTGTAGTATTCTCATTCCCCTTATTCCACTGCCATTGAATCAATATAGGAAGCCCCCCTATGTAGGGTTTCCAAGGTTGTAGGTCTTCGTAGGAATAGACAGCCTCATCTTTCTCCCACAGAGCAGCAGCTACGTTTGAAACTCGTACCTTGTGATAGTGTTTACCCAACAGTACTACCCCTTGCGTAAGCAATAGTGCCATCCCTTACAGATCCAATTATTGATTGATCAAAAATTGAACTACAGAGTTGAATACAGTTTGGGATTCTGGGGGTGACCAAGGGCCATGTTCTTTGGAATTCTACCATTCTCTAGCCAACCAGTAAGCCTGGCCTCCTAGTGATTTTCAGCCTTGTTCTATGTATTTCTCCTACTCTTTCCAGGACTTTCTGATCTATCTTTTTTCAAGCAGTTAGTAGCAGTAGCTAGCTGCATCAGTTCTTCGGGTCTCAGGGTTGTGGTACACTAGGCCATTGCCCCATCGCCATATGCCTTCAATCTTTGTCACCCTTCCTTCCTTCAGACAGGAAAAGACCAGTAGCTGCACTCTAGAAAATTGCTCATGAACTTTTAAAACCCCAGCCGCCTCTCACCACAGTAGGACGGAGACTTTGTAGTCTATGCTATGCCAGTTGACCTTGGTGTTCTCTGAAACTATGGTCAGGGCATCTCGTCCAGAAGTAGCTCCTGCCAACTCAAGTGGTACATAAGGTCACGGTGCTTGTTCCCAAAGGAGTTGTTTGAGGTTGGGGCAGGGCAGCCAGGGGTGGTCAGCAACCCACACGGCATTATGTTTTGATAGCCTGATGAGGAATTCACGTGCCTCCAGCCTCTGAATCACTGTGGGTGCATCTTGGACCTAAGACAGTGTAGGGGCTGTGTGTGGGTGGGGGTGTCACATGTGGATGAGAGTCGGGGCTTGCCATACTTCTGGTTCCAGGGAGCTGTAGAGAACAAGGGAGGCGCTGACATTTCTGTCGCCAACCACTGGTATGCCAAGGCCAATTGAATGCTGTTTGCAAAAGTTCGAGATGGCTGCATCTTGGCAGAGTAGCCAACAGTTCACCTGCCTGCCTCCTCTCTCACCACTTTTTGTTCAGTTGCTTCTCCTAGTCCCTATTCAATACACTTCTCTATCTTTTCCTGTGCAGCTCAGGGTTCCCAGACTACAATCTATATCTGTGTCGTGTGACTCTCTCACTTCTTTGTGGTAGAGGATCTGCGTAGCATGTCTGCCTGGCTCACCATCCTCTGGAAACCATCATTAAAAATAATTTTGGAATACCCGGTAAAGCTGACGATACTGCACATAACCACACCCCAGAAGTTTCACTGAAAGCTGCCTGCACTAGGGAAACGCTTATGCGTCTAGCTAGAGGAATCCAAGGAAAAAAGTTCACTATAGAATTATAAATGCTACAGACCATGTTCAGTGTGCAGTTTATGTGGATTTGTAAATAAAAGTACATCTTACATAGCTTATGTCAAGGGCACACAAACCTGGGGTGGGCATGAGCGCATCGATTTTAGGATGTGATCAGTCTCCTGAGGGCAGAGAGATGGGTGCAGGTATAGGGATAGGGAGGACGCATCAGTTCCTATTTTGTGTGTTTAATGTTGAGGCCTCTCTTGTAAAATGGTAGGTGTGATATAGATTTAGTGGTGAGTACATATGAATTATTTTAATCTCCATACTTTTCTCTCTGTTTGAAACATTAAAGACATGAAAACCACAAAGTGAACTGGAAGATAGATGTGAGGGAATTCTCCAGAAAACAGCCGAGAGATAGAGAGGCTCAGAGTTGTTAAAGAAATCACGTGTGTGAGAATCAGGAGAGCCCAAAGCAGAACAGATGTGGGGAGTTTGGAAGAGATGAAAGGCAAAGGCATGGCCTAGACTTGTCCAGAATGGGGGAGAGAGGAGTCCTTGGATTTCAGAGAGAAAACGACCCCCGAGCAGCATAGATGGAAAGAACGCCGCCCTGTTCGAGCTTTGGTGCTGGGAGCTGCTCTCGAGCAGCCTGACTCAGTGGAGCCCCAGAAGCAGGCCTGCTCTGATGGCAGGGTTTGCACTGGCGGGTTTTTCAAAAGCTCATCGCCAGGCCTTTCTTCCTTTTCGGTCTTAGGCTCTCCCACATGTTGATGGAGCCTCAAACTGGGTAGAATTCTGCACTCAACCAGCACTGCTCTATCCAGAGACACTCCGCAGACAGTGATCTTAAAGGCAGGAGGAGAGAAGAGGCAAATCGTAACGAATGACTGCTAGAGATTGTTCTTATCAGCAATGATACAGACAGCAGGCGGTGAGAGAGTACCTTCCCAGTTCTATGGGAAATCACTTACTCCAGCTAACTATCTTTTAGAGTTAAGGTTTAAACAAAAGGAATGTATAAACATCTCCTTAACGTGTACACAAAGAAGATCCTAGAAAGTTTGGGGCCCGCAGGAGCGAGTGAATGGAAATTAACACCACTGGGCCAATCGCAGCTACTGTCTCATGTGCAAGATGCGTTCATGTGACAGAACCTTATTTGGCATGTCATCCGTATGTGTACTAAAAACCAGAAAGAGAATAGCTGTTATAGTTCATTTGACACCTGCCCTGAAACCCGAGTGCCCTGTAAAGCCCGATTCTCCAGCCACAGCTGTCTCCTCTCCGGGAACCCACTTCACAGGCTCAGAGCTGCTCCTTCCCGTGTGCAGTGAGTGTGGTGCTTCCCTGAGCTGCTGTTCCACAGGGTCCTAGAAGCCTTTCCCGTCTGTCTTTGTCACTCTTAAATTACTTGGACTCCAGCCTAGAATATTACTTGCAGGAGGGTAAACTACCTTGGCAGGGAGCCCTGGTGGGTTACATGTTCGGCAGCTAACCACCAGGTCAGCAGTTTGAAACCACCAGCTGCTCTGCAGGAAGGAAGATGAGACTCTGCTCCTGTAAAGATTTGCAGTCTCAGAAACTCACAGGGGCAGTTCTACTTGGACGTATCGGGTCCCTGTGCATTAGAATGGGCTCCGTGGCATTGAGTCTGTGTTTGAACCCAACTGGAAGAAGCCATGGTGGCACTGCTAACCACAGGTCCAAGGTTCAAGCCCACTCAGGAGGACACTGCCTATCTCCTCCCACAATGATCTGCCACCGCAGAAGCCTGACATCAGTCACTCTGTGTCAGAAGCGCTCAATGGCAGTGTTTCTGGGTTTCTGGTTGCTAAGCGAGTAGAAGGTCTTCTCCGTTCCTTCCTCCGTGTTTGCTCTCCGTCCTGCTGGGGGGCTCTGGCTGCAGGCCACAAGGAGTTTTCTCCTGTGGGTGCGTCCTTCTGCCATGCGGGCTCTCCCGGGTGAATTAAAGCAAGCAGTGGTTTCAGCCTTCTCCGCGGGGTTCTTCTTGCAGCCATGTACAACGCCTGCCGGGACGTGGAGGCTCCCTCCAGCAATGAGAAAGCCCTGGGCCTGCTGTGTGGGAAGGACGCAGAGGCCTGCAACGCCACCAACTGGATCGAGTACATGTTCAACAAGGATAACGGGCAGGCGCCCTTCACCATCACGCCCGTCTTTTCAGGTGGGGCCACGCTGGGTGCGCTTCCGATGTTATTTCAAAGCCAAGTCCCCTTAAGCTGCAACAGGCAGCTACATCCTTTCAGATGGTTGGTTCCTGGAGTCTCCATCGGCAGGGAGGAGTTACGAGAGCGAGATTCCTGACCCTGACTCTGTGGGACAGGATGAAGGAACAAAGAGTTGCCTTCAGGAATCGCTTCTTAAAGAAAAGCGAATTAAAATTTTAAAAAGCCGAAAAGTGTTACAAAGATATTTCCAGAAGCTCTGTCGCAGCATTTAAGCAGCCCCTCTATGGAGGGGAAGCATGATTTCAGGTTTACCGAAGTGTCTAATGTATTGAGTTCTCAGTGACAGAACCCCGTGTACTAAGTTAGTGAGAGTGCTTAAAATTTTAGAGGACAAAGTAGTAAAACCTAATTTTCTCAGACAGAAACCTTAGGCTCTTTATCCTTTACCGCTGCACTATATATTTCAGTGTACTTCTCGCAGGACTTCAATGTAACTTAAGCAGAAAACGTATGCCTTTTTCTTTAACTGAGATATTCACTCCACACAATTCCTGCCTACAGATGTGCCATTGCTTGGAATGGAGCCCATGAACAATGCCACCAAGGGCTGTGACGAGGCTGTGGACGAGGTCATGGGCCCCTGCAGCTGCCAGGACTGTTCCATCGTCTGTGGTCCCAAACCCCAGCCCCCACCCCCTCCTGCTCCTTGGATAATCTTGGGCTTGGACGCCATGTGCGTCATCATGTGGTTCAGCTACATGGTGTTTTTGCTTATTTTTTTTGGAGCATTTTTTGCGGTGTGGTGCTACAGGTAAGCAGTCTGATATGTTCTCTACGTCAGGAAGAACAAAGTCACCCAGTGCCACGTTAGATTTCTACTTGGCTGGAAACCCATATCTGCATTAACACCCTTTCCCGAATTACTTCTGCCCGGCAACTAGCAAGCATTCAAAAGCTTTTAGAACTTTTAAAGTTAACTACCCATTTGTTAACTACCATAGCTTATATGTGCTGAATCCAATTCAACTCTCATTTTCTTGGTCCCTTATATGTTTAGTTTTTAACTTTGTAATATTAGTAGATAAAGGAAGACCATTCGTTTTAGAGTCAACAATTCATTCGTATTTTCTTTCATCGCATTCATTGTAATTCCCCTAGTGTCCTGTCATGTATCCCACTTCCTCCTGTGTGTCCTGCCCTGTTCCTCCTCTCCTAACCTCTCTAAGCTTTGTCCGTGGTTGGCTCTCCTGAGGTGTGACCAAGTCCACGCGTGTGCTTGTTTTTCAGAAAGCGGTATTTTGTCTCGGAGTACACCCCCATCGACAGCAACATAGCTTATTCTGTCAATGCCAGTGACAAAGGTATGTGGCGTCTGTGGCGGAAATGAACCCGGTGTGGCTGGTGCTGGCATGAACGTGCCCACTCCTCCCGACACGTTTGTGCGCCTGCTGTGGGTAAGCCCACGTGCTAGTGCTGTGGTGGGGATGAGAGATGGCTCGGCCGCCGTGGCACTCACAGACTAGTCGGGCTGGCAGCGCAGAACCAGGTCATCAGTCGTTGATAGCACAGCTCCCGGCCGCTCGGAGCCGGTGAAGGAGAGGACGCAGCTGCTTGAGAGCCAGTGGCAGGGCTTCACAGGGGAATTGCTGTAGGCAGAACGGTCTGAGCACTTCACTCCGCAGAGGAAGGCTGTGTGTGAGCCTGGTCTATGGGTACGGTGTAATTCCCTGTGGCAGGCAGGGAAGGGGATGTCTCCAGCAGGGCCCCGGTGCAGGTCCAGAGGGCGCGGGTGGCCGCCGTCAGTAGTGGTAGCTAATACTTTCCCTGTTCCAACTTTCAGGAATGGATTGGCTCTTAACCTCCACCCTCCCTTCCTCTCGTGCTCTTCCAGGGGAGGCATCCTGCTGTGACCAGCTTGGTGCAGCCTTTGAGGGCGGTCTGAGGCGGCTGTTCACACAGTGGGGGGCTTTCTGTGTGCGGAACCCCGGCTGCGTCATCTTCTTCTCCCTGGTCTTCATCGGCGTGTGCTCGTTGGGCCTGATGTTTGTGCAAGTTACAACCAATCCCGTCGACCTCTGGTCATCCCCCAGCAGCCAGGCGCGCCACGAGAAGGAGTACTTTGACACGCACTTTGGGCCTTTCTTCCGCACGGAGCAGCTAATCATCCGGGCGCCCCAGACCCGCAAGCACACCTACAGCCCGTACCCCTCAGGGGCCGACGTGTCTTTCGGACCTCCGCTTGACAAAGAGATTTTGCACCAGGTAACCTGCTCCATGCAGAAGCCAGCTCAGGGAGGTAGGTGGGCCTGCTTGTCCGCTGCCCAGGTCTCCCTGATGTGCACCGGGGCTGTGAAGGTACTGGCATATTCCAACCACTGCAAGGTTAAGGTCAGGTGCTTTCAACTTAGTTTTGAAGAAAGGGAGTCACTAGTGTTGCACACAATGAGACTCTCTTTTGGAGCCCACACGTTTGTTTCCTTCACGTAGCAGAAGAGCTCGCCTTTTTCTTAAGCTGGAGGCGAGCAGAGGAAGCTGTTCTGCGTGGAAACAAAATGTGTTTATGAAGGCTTCCCCCTAGGGATTTACGAAGAGCTCTGCTTGGGAATTGCAGTAATATGCTAGGACCCAGAGGAATAAAGTGTCCCTGCTCTCCCAGGGGCTAGGGAGAGGGCTGCTGGCCCCGATGGTCATTGATCTGCATGTAGGAGGGAACCTTACCACTGCCTGACCCCAGGCTCCCCACCCTCCTGCGGAGGGACATGCGTTTGAGACAAGGCGCCACCTATCGGTGCTTCTCTTCAAAAGGCTGTTAAACTTCTTGGTCTTCCCTTTGCGCACTAGCTTTGGCGAGCTGAACCTGCAAATAACTACAGTCCACTGTCGCCTTTAGTGGAATGGTCCCTTTGTTTTTCTTCTAACCATTGCTCGCCCCTGCCAAGCCCAGCCTGCTGTCCAGTCCCCTGCCTCGTAGAGGCCTCCGTAGGATTTCCAGGGCAACACATCTTTAGAGAAGTAGATAGCCACATTTTTCTTCCACAGAGCCACTGCTGGGTTCAAATTGCAGAGTGCTTGAACCACTTTCTGTCCCCAGGCCTCCTTTGCTGCCAGTCACCCACCAAACCAAACACACTGCTAGTGGGGTGAGTCCCAATCAGAGCGACCCTGGAGGGCAAGGTAGAACTCCTCCGGGAGCAAGGCTTCCTGCCCAAGACTATGGATCTCTCCAGAAGTAGGCCGCCGCCTCTTCTCTGGACTGGCTGGGTCGACTACCCTGCCGGGACTCCTTGGCACTCACCACCAGAAGGTCAAATGGCAAAACAGTCCCATGACTAACAGACCCACTTCCCCACCCAGTGATTACCTGCTGGTTTTCCCCAAGGCGTTCATGTAGAGTCATCAGATCACCTTTGTGCCAAAGAGGAACAGCACAGTTAGTCACTTACCACGAGAGACGATTCTCGTCTAGGAAATGGGGGCGCTTGCCCCAGTTGCCATGGTGGCGAGGCGATGGGTGGTGTGCAGTTGTTGAGAGCCCGGGTTTGAGAAGCCAGGGGTCTTGTTCCATCTTTCCTCTGGTTGTGGCTAGACCACTGCTAGAGAAAGGGCAGAGGGGGAGAGGTCCTTGTGTCCTGTATGGATGTCTGTCTTGTTTGGGTTTTATACATGATAGTGAGGACTCTTCCCCCCTTACCGCATTCCAAGATGCCCCAAACAGGGTTTTTATCCCAGTTTGCTGGACCCTCAGTTGAGTTCTTGGCGTCATTGGCCTCTGCCCAGTGCACTTCCCTGGGCCTCACCGCAGGCAGTTTTTCTCCTTGGAACCCTCGGGGCCACCATTAGTCAAAATCTGAATTTGTTCATTTTTGCTGTTTTGCAGGTTCTTGACTTACAGACCGCCATTGAGAACATTACTGCCTCACATAACAATGAGACTGTGACGCTGCAGGACCTCTGCTTGGCCCCCCTCTCACCATATAACAAGAACTGCACCATCATGAGTGTGCTAAACTACTTCCAGAACAGCCATTCCGTGCTGGACCATCAAGTAGGGGACGACTTCTACGTGTACGCCGATTACCACACACACTTTCTGTACTGTGTACGGTGAGTGGCCCCAGATACGTTTGCACTTGTCTCCAAAGAGTTCCCTTCAGAGAGGCAGCCATTCATAGATCCTGTGCATATTTGAAGTCCTCCTGTGAGGCCAGCCCCTGGCGAGGGCTCTGGGCTTGGTGAAGCGCAGGACCAGGGAGAAAGAAGAAGACCCTCCGCTGGATGGACTGGCGGGCTCAAACATAACAATTATGGGGCTGTCACAGGACCGGCATGGGTCCATTCTGGGGCACCACAGACTCACAACAGACTGTGGCACTAGCAGCTGCTGCTGGGGTGCTAGAGACAAGAGACGCAGCTGCAAACAGACAAGGCACTGAGCGAGACCTTGAGTCAATAGATTCATTGAGGGAGGTGAGGCTTGCAGGGAACAGGAAATCAAAGGCACTGAGGGGAAAGGGGTTTAGGATAGCCAGATAAAGGGTAGAGCTGGCCCTTTGTCTAAAGCTAGAGAATTAGCTAATTGAAAAGGTGTAGAGACCACGAGAGCCACTGTTACAGAAAGGAAGAGAAAATGGGATTTAAGACAGATCCACAAGCAAACGACAACAGTCTGGCAAGGAAAGAGTTAACAGCTCCGGGTGTCGCAGCCCTGCTTCTGCTGAGAAGGACCTGCCAGCACAAGGAAAGAGCTGGGGAAGTGTCTGTGAGCCAGCCGAGCCGGTGCTACAGGTAGTGAGCAGGGGTGAGAGGCAAGAGAGAGAGCCCAGACAAAGGAAATTCCACAGGGGGCGGGGCAGCTATACATTTTGTAGACATGATGATCCCCGCGCTTCTTTCTGGTTGGCGTGGATAACTCCAATGGGCTGGGCGCCAGCGTCCTCGGCATCGTCACTTAATCGGGCTGGGAAGGTGGTGGAGTAGCTTTGTCAGCAGAAGAAATGTCTGCTGCTGTCCTTAGTACCGCTGCCACCACACCTTAGACAAACAGGTGGAAAAAGCTCTTGACTCTTCTTCCAAAGCTGTCGTTCTGAGAGGGGGGAGACAAATGAGCACATTGCTGGGTGTGGCACGATGTCCTGCAGAGGAAGATAAAGCGGGGTGTGGGGTGCCTGCATGACTGCAGAGACTGGGCCAGGAAAGGGAAGCAGGGAGCCTGGAGAGGGGAGCGTGCCCGAGCCGAGGGAGCAGCCAGTACAGCGCCCTGGGACGGGTGTCGCGGTCAGGGGCAGCGGGCATACCGCTCATTCTGGAACGCATGCCCGTGGGACAGCACACGTCATGTCCTAAGGTTTTGCAGAGCTGGTTTCAGCCTGTGAGGGGAAGGCCGGCCCCCCACAACTAATCACGGGCTCGATGGGCACAGTTGTACGGTTAAGATCTATGTGAAGATTACAATAAAGTCATAGAAAATGAGAGAGTAAAGAAGTCAGACACATCTCATGGTAGCATGCTCACCTCCTGGATGGCCATGATCTCAACAGCCAGGTCCGCACACAGCATGAGCCGAGAGGGCAGGGGAGCGAGGCGAGGTGGTCCAATTTATTGCTAACCAAGGCTTATATCTCCTTAGCAGGTGTGATTACAGGTAACCACACTTGTCACAGGAAGGGGCAGTACAATAGGCATACACATCATAGGAATAGGATGTACAGTAAGCATAAGCGTGACAGGAAGGAGATGAGCTAGGGGTGTGCATGCAGTAGGAAGGGGAGGGACTAAGGCTATACATGTGACAAGATTCATGATGGCGGCCTAACCTTGGCCACCCTTGAGTGGGCTTGACCTCCCTGGGTTCTCCTTCAGGGAAACAATTTACTGCTATCCTTATCAGAAGGGAGTGGGCCCTACTTGTGGGATAAACAGTGGTGTCTGCTTGCTCTGGATGGCTGATAACCCTTAGGGAGAATAACCCCTGACCTACTTCTGTTGACCTCCAAGTGAATAGTTATTTGCCATGTGTAGCAAGCAGCTAAGTTTGGCATATATTTGGGGGAGACAACTTGGGAGAAATCTTTGTTTCCCACATCAGCCTACACAAACAGAAGTCTGAGTGCTGCTTCTTGCCCCGAACATAAACGTACACTACTGTGTTACCCTCAGGCAGGGATGTGAGCTCGGGTGACCTGCAGAGCTGCTTCCTGGAAGATGGGTGTCTGGCTGGGGCAGGGTGAAATGAGTCACAGGGAAGCTCTGACCTGCGAGGTGACCTTTAGACTTGGCTGGGGAAGCAAGAGTGGCAGTCCCACAGGATGGGCCCGCCGTCCCAGAGCACTCTGCGGCCTGGCCTGGCGGGGGGACGCCTTGCTCAACGCCTTGCTCAGGACAGAGAGGCCACAGCCAGTGACCTAGATGGTGCTGCTCAGGGAGCCGAGTTTCTGAGCCAGGCACTCTGACACCTGCCCTGTTCAGTGGGCTGTTATTAGGCAGAGCCCACTGAGCTATGTGATTTTCTAGGTGCTTCCCTCTAAAACGATGAGCTACACTCACCTAAAGCCGTAAGCGTGTGTGTCCAAAAGCAGAGTTCTCGATGGGGGAGACCGTCGGGGAGAGACATGGTAAATGTGGGGGCCATTGTATCCTTATTCTGTATTTTACCAAAGCAGACGATGGGGAGCAGAGGTGGGCACGACAGGTGCCTTATCCAAAGGAGACTTGGTTTTATGGCCAGGCCTCAGGAATATGTCAGGTTCGAGGTGAACCTGTGTGTGCCCTGCTGGCCCTCAGGCCCACTCCAGCTCCAGCTCTGGTCTCTGGCCTCACCCTGCAGCCTCTTTGACCTGTCCCTCCCCTGACCTGTCCCTCCCCGAGGGCCTGCAGGAACCACAAGTTCACCTTGGCCCACCCTATCTGAGGCCTACTTCTGCTCACACGCCCGCCTGCCCTTCACTGCCATTCGACCAGTAGAGCTGTACCTCTGCCTGATCCCACAAACCCGGGACAGGGAGGTGGCGGCAGGCCCAGGGCTGAGGTGGACTTGAAGGCTGCTTGACTGCACAGGTGACCTTGTTTCCAGGCCTGCCGGCCCATCCGCTTGAACTCGAAGGGTGGTTGTCCGGAGCATGCCCCCGCCCCACGTGTATTTCCTTCTGGGCCATCTCACTCCTGCTGACTGGCCTCCCAATGTCTGGTGTCTCTACTTCTCCCCTCCCCCATAATCTTGTGAGAGCCCCTTCCCCCCAGTCTCTGAGTTGCTCCCAGTGCCTACGGGATGGAAAATCCACACTCGTTGATATAGCACGTCATATCTTTTCCCATTGTGTTCAGTCTTTCTAGCCAGGCCCCGTCCCTTAAAGGACGGACAGACACACACACACACACACACACACACACACACACACACACACCTTTTCTTGCTCTCTGCCTTCCTTCCTACCAGTGCAGTGGGTGTCTCCCCTCTTTTCCTTCCCTCCCTCACCCTTAGAGACCTCCTCTGCACTGGTCCCCTCTTTGGTGACAGCTGCCCATGTGTTAGCTGTTGCCCCGTCTGTGCCCCCAAATGCCGTGCACCTTGTGACAGACACACAGACACACACACAGTCTGAGCTCTTCACTGCACTTACTGAGCTGAATAAGTCAACTTGGCGACCAAGGGGCCGCACGGGAAGCCCCAGTGAACGTTTTCGTGTACAGATTTAAGTCTGTGGGCTGTCTCAAGACTTACTCTCTGGACTTTCTGGCAGGGCGCCCGCCTCCCTGAACGATACAAGCCTGCTCCACGATCCTTGCCTGGGTACCTTTGGTGGACCTGTGTTCCCGTGGCTCGTGTTAGGAGGCTACGACGGTAAGTAGGGAAACAATCTTGCCTGTGTCAAATGGGAATTACAAAGATGATTAGTACCTTACCTCTTGAAACCTAAATTTCTTTTGGCAATGGCTTTGGAATTTATTCTGGACTTAGAATAACTTGATTCTTTTGTTTTGAACTCCCTTTAAGTCACCTGGGTCTCTCTGAGGGGCCCCAGTGGGTTACACATTGGATCTCTAATCTCAGGGTTAGCAGTGCAAACCCACCAGTTGCTTACTGGGAGAGAAAGCTGCTGTCTGCTTCAGTAGCGATTTACAGTCTTGGGAACCCAAACGGGCGGCTCTGCTCCATCCTGTAGAGTTGCTGTGAGGCAAAATTGACTCGATGGCAGTGTGTTTGGGTTTTTTGGCATCTTTGAGAAGCTTTGGGGAACTAAGAACCCTTTGTGCAGATACTGCAGTGTGCACAAGCACACACTGCGCTCTACAGTTCAGGAAGTGCCTGGAACCCTTGAAGTCCCTCTGTGGGACCCTAAGGGGTCTGTGGACCGAAGGTTAAACCAGGCAAACTCAGACCCACGGCCCCCAGTCAGATTCCGACTCACAGCAGCCCTGTAAGGCAGAGTAGAACTGCCCTCTAGGGTTTCCAAGGCAGCCTTATTCTTCGGAAGAGCACCTGGTGGGTTCGAACTACTGACCTTGTCCTTAGCAGCCCAAAGTAACCCACCCCCATGCCCCCAGGGCTCCTTGGGTTAAGAACTTCTCTTATGAGGAAGAGGGGATGTATGAGGTATGTTGGGGGTAAAGAAGCTAACTTGATGGGTTTATTTTTTCTTGTAAACCAGTTGCTTAGGGACCCAGACACTGTTTCTAGAGGCCCGATCCATTGTTTTGCTGAAGAGCCAGTCTCTGTAACTTCTCAGGAGGTTTCGCTTGGCTTGTGGAATGATGGTTCATGTGACACCTTTGGCACCTGGAGCCTAGTTACAGGCTGCTCAACAAGTTTTTCTTCAGCCCAATGAGTGGGCCCGGAAAGCTCTCCTCCTCCTTCTCCTCCGTAGAAGCAGAGAAGTTGTGACCTGCGTGTAAAACCGACTCTGCCTCATGTGATAAAATGGGGAAAAGAGCATTGACTACTAGCTAATTGTATGGGGGAGGAAAAAGTCGATTGGAGCTCTGTTTAGTCCTTACATGCCACTCCCCTGCCCCCCCACCCCCAAATCCAGAAGAATCTGAGGTTGCATATAAGCAGTAAAACCATTGGAAGAGCTAGGAGAGCACACAGGAGGGGCTGGGTTTGGATTTGAACACTGAAATGGAGACAATGTTTCCAAACAACCTAGACACCAAAAATGGAAGACTTGACAGATCAAAATGTGTGGAGGGAAAGTGTCAGATCATTGAAAACCAATTGGCAAATGAGAAAGGGAATGTGTGTGTGTGTGTATTAAATGTATCTTAGATGAAGGTTTACAGGGCAGCATAGGTTCCCATCCATTCAGCAGTTTCTGTACAAGTTCACCAGTGATGTTGGTTCCATTCTTCTCAATGAGTGAGCATTCTCATTGTTCCCGTCTGGTCATTCAGTTCTCTGTCCCCTGCCCTGCGCCTCTTTGTTTTAACGTAATTGTTGACCTTTCAGAGACAAGAGCTATCTCCTCCATGAGTCAGCATTCACAGGGTTTCCTTTCTGGCTGCTTATACCCATTAATCTAGTCTCCCTGCCCCTTTGAATTATCAACGTTTTTTGTTTTGTTTTGTTGTTGTTAATTTTTATATTGTGAATTATGGGGGGATTTACATTTCAGACCAATCAACAGTTAACCACTCATAAACTCCCCTTTCTGCAATTCTGTCCCACTCTGCGAGTCCTCTCCTAACTTTTAGGGACCTCCATCCTGTCACCAAAGTCACTATCGTCAACCTTCTAGTCCTTGCCTCATCTTCCCACCTTTGCCCTCCCTCCTTTGGGGGCCTCCAAAGTCTGTTCTTAATAGCAGTGGTCTCATACAATATTTGTCATGAAGTTCTCCGAGCCCACTCCTGTCATGAAGTGTTTCACGGTTTCATCACTGTTTATTAGTGAGGCATAGTATTCCATTGTGTCTGGACACTTGCCAGAGCTACTTTGTCCATTCTTCAATTGAGCATTTGGGCTATTTCCAATTTCTTGCTATTATAAACAGTGCTGTGATAAGCATAGGAATGCATATATCTGTTCATGCTGTGTCTCTTTAGGGTATGTATCCAGCTGGATCATATGAGATTTCTGTACTCTGTTTGAGGTAGCGCCACATTGTTGTCCACAGTAGTTGTACATATTTACAGACCCAACAGCAGTGTAAGAGCGTTCCGATCTGTCCACCCTTTTCTAGCACTTGTTGTTTTCTATTTTTTTTAAAAACTTAGGCTGTTGTTGTCAGTGTGAGGTGATAGCTCATGCATAGTTGTTTTGATTTGCATTTCCTGGATGACAAATGATTTGGAGCACTTTTTAAATAATGTTAGCCATTGGAATGTTGTATTTGTTCAACTGTTCAGTTCCTTTGCCCACTTTTTAATTGGATTATTTTTTTCTTACTGAAGTCTTACAGTTTTCTATAGATTTAGAGCTCCGTCCTCTGTTGATTGGGTCACGCTGAAGGATTTTTTTGCCGATTCATGAGTCCTCTTTTCCACTCTTTTTGTGAAGTCTTTTCATGCGCTGTGTGTCTTATTTTTAGTCGGTCCCAGTCTTCTGGTGCTACTACCTGTGCTTCCTTTATTATGTTTGAGAGTATGTCTGGGCCCTGCAATAGGTCCTGAAGTTTGTTCGTGTTTTCTCATTGATTCTCTTTACAGCTCTGAGGTTTACATTTAGGTCTTTGATCCATCTTGAGTTCATGCAAAAATTCTCAACACAATCCTGGCCAACAGATCCAACAACATATCAAAAAAATAATACACCATGATCAAGTGGGATTCATACCAGGTACGCAAAGATGTTTCAACATTAGCAAAGCTATCAAAGAAATCCACCACATAAATAATAAAAAAATCACATAATCATATCAATCGACACAAAATGCATTTGACAGTGTCCAACACCCATTCCTGATAAAAATACCCAACTAACTAGGAATAGGAATTTCGCAACATAATAAAGGCCCTATATGAAAAACCAGTAGCCGACATCTTGCTCACTGGGGAAAAACTAAAAGCAATTCCTCCAGTGAATGGCTTGCCTCTTCCCACACTCCATTCAATACTGTGCTGTAAGTCTTAGCCAGGACCACTGGACCACAAAAAGAAATCAAACTTGGCAAAGAAGAAGTGCAGTTCTCACTGTTTTCAGGTAGTTTGATTTTAGTTATAGGAAACTCCAAAGACTCGGCCTGAAAATTGTCGGAAGCAATCAAAGGATTGAGCAAAGTGGCAGGATAGAAGGTTAACACACACAAATCAATCAGATTCCTAAATACTACCTGAAAAAGACATCAGTACCATTTACACCAGCCACACATCCACTGAAATACTCAAGTATAAGTCTAACTAGAGAAACATAGACTTGGGAAAAGAAAACTACAGTAGCATCTGGGGTCTTAAAGGCTTAAAGATAAACAAGCGGCCATCTAGTTCAGAAGCAACAAAGCCCTCATGGAAGAAGCACACCAGCCTGTGTGATAATGAGGTATCAATAGGATCAGGTATCAGGCATCAAAGAACAAAAACATCATATCGTTGTAAATGAGGGTGAGTGCAGCGTGGAGACCCAAAGCCCATCTGTAGGCAACTGGACACCCCCTTACTGAAGGGTTGCAAGGAGGAGATGAGCCAGTCAGGTTGCAGGGTAGCAACGATGAAACATACAACTTTCCTCTACTTCTTAAATGCTTCCTCCCCCTACTATCATGATTCCAATTGTACCTTACAAATCTGGCTAGACCAGAGGATGTACACTGGTACAGATAGGAACTAGAAACACAGGGACTCCAGGGTGGATGATCCCTTCAGGACCAGTGGTGTGAGTGGCGATACCTGGAGGGTGGAGGGAAGGTGGGGGAGAAAGGGGGAACCGATTACAAGGATCTACATATAACCTCCTCCCTGGGGGATGGACAAGAGAAAAGTGGGTGAATGGAGACATTGGACAGTATAAGATATGACAAAATAATAATTTGTAAATTATCAAGGGTTCATGAGTGGGGAGGGAAGGGGAAAAATGAGGAACTGATACCAAGGGCCGAGTAGAAAGCAAATCTTTTGAGAATGATGATGGCAACATATGTACAAATGTGCTTGACACAATGGATGGATGTATGGATTGTGATAAGAGTTGTACAAGCCCCCAATAAAATGATTTTTTTAAAAAATTAAAAACAGATGAAAAAAACAACAACTACAGAACACTATTAGAAGAAACCTACCTACATAAATGGAAGAATGTTCCAGGTTCGTGGATAAGACGGCTTAACATTGTGAAAATGACAATATGACCCAAAACTTTCTTTAAATACAACACGAATCCAATCCAGATTCCAACTTGATTCTTTAAAGTTAGAAAAGTGAATTACTAACTTTATACGGAGAGGGAAGAGACCTAGGATAATTAAGAACTTCTTAAGAAGAAGAACTGAAAAACCTTTCAAATATTTTTTTTCTAATCATTTTATTAGGGGCTCATACAATAAAATATTTTCTTAATATACAAAAAGCTCTTTTTAAAAAAAATTTCAATTATCCTAAAGCAAAATGGGTTAGGAAATGTAAAAGGCTAAAAGAAATAACAATTGGCTTTTGATTATATGGGGACAATGGTCAACATCTCTCATTAGTGCTGTGCATTCTATTTCGCTTTTCTACGGAACAGAATACAAAGACCTACGTGTTTGGTGCAACCCTGCTGGGAAAGTCTGGGCCTCTGTGCTGTTGGTGGACGGGTTACTGCAGTCTAAGCAGCAGAAGAGCAGGCATTGTTCTCTCTCCTCTTACCAGTCCACTGGTGCATCCCCAGTGCCTAACATCATGCCGGACACAGAGGACTCAGTCAAGAAAAGCTCAGAGAAGAATCGACAAACACTGCAACTTCTTTAGATCACACCCCAAGGGAATTTATCCAAAAGAGAAATAGACATACTTTATGATTCAGTGGGAGCCCTGGTAGCCTAGTGGGTTACACGCTGGGCTGCTAACTGCACAGTCAGCAGTTTGAACCTACCAACTGCTCTAAGAGGGAAAGATGAGACTTCGCAACCATAACGATTCACAGCCTCAGAAACCCCAAAGGGCAGTTCTGTTCTGCCCTATAGACTTGCTGCGAGTGGGAGACAGTGAGGTGGAAGGGGGTTATTGGGTGTTGGGGGCTTTTTTTGTGGGGGAGGGAGGTTGTACGATTCAGTGATCTTATGTGTGAGAATTTTTTTAATTAAATAATCATTTTATTAGGGGCTCATATGACTCATCACAATCTGTACATACGTCATTTGCGTCCAGCACATGAGTACATATGTTGACTTCATCATTCTCACAACACCCGCTTTCCACTTGAGCTGTTGGTGTCAGATCCTCATTTTTTCCTATGTGTAAGAACTTATTCTATGAATTAATTCATATATTAAAAATATAAGATTATCCTTTGTAGTTATAACAAAAAGAAAGAGCAAATAAGGCCCCTGGAGGAGATTGGCTAACTTGTATAGGCACTGTTCTGCAGCAGAGGACGAGTAAGGACCTCCTGCAACAGAGCCATCTCCATGACCGTGTTTCCATGTCAGGCCCGGAGGCCGGCAGAACGGATGCACGTGTGTGCTGGGCAGATGGGCATCGGTGGTCACAGTGTAGGAAGGAGACCTGGGGAACAGGAGAGATTCGGGGATACCTGTCTGTGTGGCTTGTCGTTTTTTACCACGCATGCGTGACTAAAGTCAGAAACCCTCCTCCTGCATGAGCACGTCGCCTCCGGAGACGCTCCTTTTCCTTCGCTCACGGCCCCACAGGCTGTCAGTTCCATGAGCTGCTGTGGTTCCGTGGTGCTCAGGGACACGGTCCACACGGTGAGGACTCCTTGTCAGCATCTGTGTGGTCATGCCCCGCTCGAGAGTATCTGGTTTTGTAGTCTTGCGACAACCTATTGATTCACGGTTTTCCTTTCCAGCTCAAAACTACAATAACGCCACCGCCCTTGTGATTACCTTTCCTGTCAACAATCACTACAACGACACGGACAAGCTGCAGAAGGCCCTGGCCTGGGAGAGAGAGTGAGTTGCCAACGGGGGTGGGGGTGGGGGTGGGGGGTGGCTGACCAATGACCACTTACTTGCCTCTACCTCCTATGTTTTGTTTTGCTTTATAGGGGACTCATACAACTCTTGTCACAATCCATATATCGGTTCCATCAGGACAATTTGTACATATGTTGCCTTCATTCTTTTCTAGACATTTCCTTTCTATTGAGCTGTTGGTATTTTTCCCCCTCCCTCCCTCCCTCCCTCATATGTTAAAAAACATGCTTGTATTGTTTTCCAGTAGCAAAAACTGAGAGCCAGGCAAGTGTACATTAGCAATGTGCTTGTAAGTCTTAGCCAGGACCTTGGGGGTGTACAACAGAATGTTAAGTAGTCGTTACAATGAGGAGAGCGCCCTGGTGGTACAGTCACTAAGGCTCCAGCTGGTAACCTAAAGGTCCGTGGTTTGAAGCCACCCACCCTTTCTTGGAAGAAAGATGTAGCAGTCTGCTTCTGTAAATATGTACAACTTTGGGAAACTACGGGGCAGTTCTACTCTGTCCCGTAGGATCTCTGCGGATTGGAATCCAGTCAACGATCATGGGTTAAAGTGAGCTAGACCAGCAAGACCTATTAAGTAAAATGCCACAGCATGCTTAAGTAAGCATGTGTTAAATATGTTCTTGTGTAGAATTTTATCACGCGAATGAAGGAGAAATTGTTTCTACTCTTTATTTTACGGCTTTTGGTTCTTCATACATTATGTTCTGCAAGTAAGATCTATTCTTTTTGTTATAATAGACTTCATTTGGAAGTCTATTTTTGAAGAAATTTAATAGGGAAACGCGAGCTGTTTCATTGTGATGTTTAGTGAGACATTTACCATCGCAGGCTTTTTTCTATGAGGGCAACTTGGGGGCCTTCATTCAGCACAGCCACCAGAACCCAGTGTTGAACGGGTCCTAATCCTGTTCCGAGGGTAGAGAGCTCACGCCTGCAGCTAAGTCTAACTTCGGGTCAGCCTAGCTAGTAGAAGACCCTCATGGGGGACAGAGATGAAGTTACGCATGACCTTGTGTCATCGAAGCTGGGAAGAACTCAGTGTGGTTGTCACCACGTGTTCACTACAAATACCAAATGTTGCTTCCTCTGTAGGTTTATCAATTTTGTGAAAAACTATAAGAACCCCAACCTGACCATTTCTTTCACTGCCGAGCGAAGTATCGAAGACGAGCTGAACCGCCAAAGCAACAGCGACGTCTTCACTGTGGCCATCAGCTACACCGTCATGTTCGTGTACATCTCCATCGCCCTGGGCCACATCAGAAGCTGCCACAGGCTTATGGTGAGTGCTGCGTGCCTGGGCACTTGCGGGTCAGAGAGGAAAGGCCCCACACACCGTCATAGGTGCCCCTGCTTGTCTTCATGCCTGCCCCTTCAGTGCCCCTGTGTGTTGGACCTAGGTGACTCTCGGAGGCCTGCAGCTCTTTTCTCAGTTCCCGTGTTTTGGCCTGGCGTAGACGTAGCGGCTCTGTCACATTACCCAGCGTTTTCCAAGTTGCCCGCTGTGTCACGTCGAAGGATGTGCGCTCATGCAGCGCACTGCCAGGAAACCCGAGAAGCGTCTCCTGTCTTCCCCGCACTCAGACGTGCACTGTCCGCTCCAGAGCAGATAGCAGTAAAGAAACAGCCCTCGTGTCTAGCGTGTTGGGCACCAGACAAAGCCCCCTGTCCCCGTTGCCTCCCCCAGGTGGACTCGAAGGTCTCCCTGGGCATCGCGGGCATCCTGATTGTGCTGAGCTCGGTGGCGTGCTCCTTGGGCATCTTCAGCTACATCGGGATCCCCCTCACCCTGATTGTGATTGAAGTCATCCCGTTCCTGGTGCTGGCTGTGGGCGTGGACAACATCTTCATCCTGGTGCAGACCTACCAGGTGTGTGCTCACGTGCCCTGCTGATAGAGATGGCGCCTGTGCTGGCCCGGGGCCTGTCACTGGCTGTGAGGCTCCAGGCAGAATGTGGAGGCAAAAAAACTCTTCCCTTTTGCCCCCACCTGTCCCCCATCGCCCGTGGTGCTTAAGAAGACTGGTAGCCTTGGCTTGTTTTAGACATCTGGGGGTCCCAACCCCATCCCTTTCTTTGGTTGGTGGGACAGATACAAAGTGAGAATTTGGTGTTTAAGTAGTCCCCTTTCCCCGGATGTGCTAGGTGGCCTTAACACGCTTTTAGAGAACAACTTGGAGACAAGTGACTCTTGGCATGGAACAGAGGAACTTTGCCATCTGTTCAAAGGTGGGGCTAGGTCAAGTGGGGAAGAGGTCAAGACATTGGCCCTCTGTTGTAGAAAATGGTGCTGACCGGTTGCCTCACCCTCTGGTCCCTTGTCCACAGGCCTGTAGCCAGAGTGAAGACTTGGTGGCTCGGCAGAAGGCCGTTGAACGGTTCTGTGGACTTGCGGCTTGTGATAGCGTGTGCCAGTCTGTGCTCTAGTGTCTCAACACTCACACACAC